AACCTACAGCGAGTCAATTAGTTCTTAAAATGTTACCTTTAAGTTAATTTTACTGTTTTGTGACATTAATAATGCTTATATATCGATATTTTTCTATTTTTGATCTATTTTTGCTTCTGTTTATCGGCATCATGTTTGGGGAGGCTAAACCGTCTAAATTCACAGCCTCTTTTTTCCGGTCCTCCGGTCTACCAAGGACCCGGCCCGCCGCAACAGGGTAGTCTGGGTCCTCCGGAGGACCCGGCCTGTCGTTTTGGACACAGCCATGGAGGGACGCTCTGAGGGGCGGGAGTGAGACAAATGGGCGGTGCTTTGTACCAGCAAGTGTTTAAACAGTTCCAAATGACTACCACAGGAGATTCAGGGATATCTCAAGCATGCATGAATGAGTCAAAGCAACACTCTGGACATGTTTTTAATAAGGGAATGGTATTATAACATGATATAAAGCTCAAAAAGTCAACTTTGCATATCCCCCATACTCCATTACAATATAAAATTAGATATATAATACTTATCTAGTCTATGTTATAAGATTGGTTTATGTTAATTGTAGTGTAATATATTCAATAAAACAGAAAACACGTCCCAGTTTTTTTTAACCACATTTAGAAATCAATAGAAATATGAAATATCCTCGTTAACCATTTTGACTCCTGTATCTCAACATAATAAAATCACAGATTACCTAATGTTCTGCATTTTGTTCTGAAAACCAGTAATCAGTCCATTTGTATAAATGTTTACCTGTTGTCTCGCCTTTATTATTACACCATGACAGCTCCCTGAATAAACCCGAACAGAAAATATTTTGAATAAAGTAATTGTGTTTTTTTAAGAACACCTTGCACAGTCTGAACAGCTGCAGCGGTCAGATTTAATTAGCTGCTGATACCACATCTAGTCTTGGGAATATGTATTTTAAACATATTATCATTTAATTAGAGATGTTACAAAAAGGTTGAATGCAAATATCGCTCGGCAGTAAAAATGTAAATCAAACCAAACAACAGAAAAGCTTTTTGTTTGACTTTCCCAGTCCAGTGTTCACTGTCTCCCCCCCAGGGCTCTGGCTTGCTTCCCCGTCCCGCTACAAGCTAGCCTCTCTCTGGCTTTTAGCCTCCCAGACGGGCGGAACATCACTGATTCCCCCGCATTTCACCCGCTTTCCCCGCCGCAGCGCCCCTCTGTCGTGTTTACCTGAAAGAGGGGCTACAAAAGCGCCGAGCAGCGCCGGGATAGACGTCCTCTCAGTTCGCTAAAATGTCCATTTTAACCGTTAGCTGCAGCTAGCAAAATGCTACCGTCTCCAGCGGTGCATGTGTGTGTGTGTGAGTGTGTGACAGAGGCAGACAGAGGATGTGTGTGTGATGTCTGAATGATGCGAGCAGCATATGGAGTGAGCCTCTCACTAAAGTGATGGAGCACAAATGAAGGAGACAGTAAACTCAACACCGACCGGCAGGAAGTCTGAATATTTTACAGAGAGGTTTCAGAGGGGAAAAAAACGCTTACGTGATATTCGGTGAGCTTTAATCCGACGGTAGGAAAGAGATGCTGGTTGTTGGACAGAAAAGAGTGACTCCGGGTCAGGATTTCTCTCCCTTTTCTCCGCCTCTGTGCTCGCGCGCGCGCGTGTGTGTCCTCCAGCTGAAGCTCTATCCCGTCTCCAGCCTGGCCCGGAGTGTCCCGGTGCTCTTGTACCTCCACTCGCCCTCCAGTGGAGACTGAACGGCCCTGATGCGCTCTGATTAGGAGGACCCCCCTCTTCGGATAGGCAGCGCTCCCCCTCCCTCCTCCTCACTCACGCCACCATGAACGTGCTTGCGCGTGTGCGGCTGTGTTCATCCGCGCGCGGTACCGTGAGCACGGAAAAGACTGAATGAGTGAATGTGTGCGCTTTGGAATGAGTCATCC